TTGCAGTGAGCCGAGATCGCGCCATTGCACTCCAGTCTGGGCAACAAGAGCGAAACTCCGTCTCAAAAAAAAAAACAAAACAATGGTTACTTCTAGGTAAAGAGATATGGAGATAACAAGTAATGTTTGGTATTTCCCCCAATAATCTGATAGCAGATATTACTTTTTAAGTCAGAAAATAATTTTGCTTTTAAGGTCTTCCATTTCAAAGACAGCAATGAATCATTCTGAAGCCCTCCTCACCTCTGAAGAGGCCCGGATGATCCCTGAGATGAGGCTGCATAGCTGGTTGCCTCGGGTCCGAAAGGCAGCCAGGTCGACCTTAAGCAGGCCTCTGTGCTGCTCAGAAGCATCCAGCTGCTGGCTGAGCTGCAGCATTTCCTCCTGCAGAGTATAGAGGGCCCGCAGGCGGACCTGGCCTTCTTCCTTCCGAAGCCGCTCCTGCTCCGCTTGCTTCACGCGCTGCTGCTCTGCCTCCCGCAGCTTCAGGTTGAGAATCTGTAGAAAGGGCTGAATGACTTCTGAGGGGCTCCTGGGCTTCCTCTCTTTCTATAATCCACAAATTCTATGTGGGCTACATATTTTCACAGATGGGCTCAGAGCAGGAAAAGGACATCCCAGAGTTAGTCACACACAGATATAATATGGCCCAGATCCACCATGTGACCATCTGCCAAAACCTGGCTCTCTAGGCAGGTTATAGACAGACTATACACCCACACAAATTTTGCCAGGCTCTGACCTTTGCTCTGTGACGGTGCTCAGCTTTTAGCTTCTCTTGGTGTCCCAAGGCTTCTCTCGAGCTGCAGGAACAATGGTAGGGAGGAACAGTCAGGAATATTTCCTAAAGTTGTTTTTCTTTTCTCTCCCTCTCCCCGCCCTCCCTTCCCTTCCTTTCTTTCTTTTTTCTTAGAGATGGAGTCTCGTTATGTTGCCTAGGCTGGAGTGCAGTGGCTATCACCACAGCCTCAAACCCCAGGGTTGAAGCAATCCTGCCTCAGCCTCCCTAGTAAATGAGACTACAGGTGTGGTCCACAGTGCCCGTAAAATTGTTTTACCTCTGCTAAAAGCCTCCTTCTTTGTGTTACTTTTGTTGTCTTTCCAAGTTTGATCATTTTTCCAGGTTATAAACTTCTCTACCTATTTTACTTTGATATTTAAGGACTAAGAAATTGTTCAACTCTTTCCCCTTGGAAGCCCTCTTGGGAAAGAGTTCCAGTTGAACACATCAGTCATAATTCAGGGAGACTCACCTTTTCTCCATTACTTCCCGCAAGTCCTGGAATTCTTTATGCTGCTTCAGTTCCTTCCGTTCATCAAACCGCTTCAGTTGTTCAGATGCCATCTCTGAGAGGGCTCGCACCTTCCTCTCCTGCTCCTCCTGCCATTGCCTTAGGCCCTCCTGAAAAGGTTCAGCACCTGCTCTATGGAGCTCCTTCAACACCTTGATCATTCACCTCTGTGGACTACCTGCCCAATGGCCCCTAACACCATCAGAGATACTTAACGGCATGGAATCAGAACCTTTGCAGGAGTCTTCTGTCTCCTTTTGCTTGATCTTGTAAACTCAGCTGTTTTGGAAAGCTCTTCCAATTTGCCCCATATGGTTTATGTCACTCTAGTACCAGCTGGGAACAGACAGGAATTTAGCAACACGGCATCAAACAGCCATGCACTATTAAGATTCCATCCTGTGTAGTCTTACCGGGCTTCCTTCGTAATTTACGGAAATCATTCTAATTCCATAAACAGGCTATATACATTCCTATCTCCCTGCTTCTGCCTAGAAGATTTTCTCCTGGACCTCCACTGAGGGAAGTCCTTTTCCTTAGTACCTAAGGGTATCAGATATTTCATTTATCATTTCATGAAAGTACTCACGTATCGTTAAAGGCAATCTGACATTTTAGTATCAAAATTTGAAGTGTATCTATCCTTTGACACTTTGACACCTGAGGAAATGCTTGTATGTACACGCAAAGATATACATATAAGAATATCAGCCCTGTTGATAACAGTAATAAATATAAAACCACCTAACTGGGGAATGATGACATGTATTAGAGTACAGTCACACCAGAGAATACTGTGCAGCCCTTAAAGACAACAAGATGCCAACGAGCATGGAGATATGTCAAAAGATATTGTTAAAACATTATGTTATTCTATTTTAAAACATATGATGGTGGAGGGTGGTGGCTCACACTTGTAATCCCAGCACTTTGCAGGGCTGTGGTGGGCAGATTCCAAGGTCAGGAGTTTGAGACCAACCTGGCCAACATGGTGAAACCCCATCTCTACTAAAAATACAAAAAATTAGCTGAGCATGCTGGCACGTGCCTGTAGTCCAAGCCACTCAGGAGGCTGAAGCAGGAGAATTGCTTGAACCCGGGAGGCGGACGTTGCAGTGGGTCAAGATTGTGCCACCTCACTCCAGCCTGGGTGACAGAGTAAGACTCTATCTCAAAAAAAAAAAAAGTATTATATTTTATTTTGTTTATTTATTTATTTTTGAGACAGGGTCTCACTGTATCATCCAGGCTGGAGTGCAATGGCACAATTATAGCTCACTGCAGCCTTGAGCTCCTGAGCTTAAGGGATCATCCCACCTCAGCCACCTGAGTAGCTAGGACTACAGGTACACACCACCACACCTGACTAATTTTCAAATTTTTTGTAGAGTCAGGGTCTCACTATATTGCCCAGGTTGGTCTGGAACTCCTGACCTCAAGCTATCCTCCCAAAACTGCTGGAATTATAGGCATGAGCCACTGCACCCAGTCTTAAAACTTATTTTAAAGTTTCCAGTGCAAGAAGGCATATTGAAAACAAGCATATATATCCTCTTCTATGGGACTCTGTTAAAGTGAGAATTGGAAAGAAAAAAAGATATAACACCACACAGAGCACGAGAGAGGTCACCAACAAGGAAAAACCTTCTACATCCTTCTGGAAAACAGTCAGTGGAAAAGTGGCCAGATGCAGTGGCTGAGGTCTGTAATCCCAGTACTTGGGGAGGCCAAAGTGGGACGATCACTGGACCCCAGGAATTTGAGACCAGCCTGGGCAACAAAGAGAGACCCGTCTCTACCAAAAATTTTAAAATTATCTGGGTGTGGTGGTGCACACCTGCTGTCCCAGCTATTAAGAAGGTAGGAGGAGCTGAGGTGGGAGGAATGCCTGAGATCAGGAGGTCAAGGCTGCAGGGAGCAGTGATTGCACCACTGTATTCCAGCCTGGGCAACACAGCGAGACTCTGTCTTAAAATATATATAGAGAGAGAAGCAATAAATGATAGAGCAGAGCTGAGAAAACCCAAGAATACACACACACACACACACACACACACACACACAAATGTACATAAGCAGACTATGCCTCATGGGAGCAGAGAGCCAATCTACTAGCCGAACTGCAGAGTCTCAAGACTGGGAAATGCTACAACTCCTATAGGTGGGCCTCATGGGACTGAAAACGGAACTATTGGCTAAATGTTTGTAAACTAAACAGTCAACTCTTGCCCTCTTCCCCTGGTCATTAGATCAAAACAGCCAAGAGCCAGGTATTTGTGCTATAATTTTATTTATTTATTTTTGAGATGGAGTCTTGCTTTGTTACCCAGGCTGGAGTGCAGCAGTGTGATTTCGGCTCACTGCAACTTCCATCTCCCAGGTTCAAGCAATTCTCCAGCCTCAGCCTCCCAAGTAGCTGGGATTATGGGCGTGCACCACCACACCTGTCTAATTTTTGTATTTTTAGTAGAGACGGGGTTTTACCATATTGGCCAGGCTGGTCTCGAACTCCTGACCTCAAGTGATCCGCCCACACATGATCCACCCACCTCGGCCTCCCAAAGTGCTGGGATTACAGGTGAGAGCCACCGTGCCCGGCCTGTGCTATAATGATTTTGTTTTTGTTTTTGTTTTTTTTTTTGGAATTGTCTGATTTTTTTTTTTATTGCATTTTAGGTTTTGAGGTACACGTGAAGAACATGCAAGATTG